GTTGTAGTTTTCTTGAACCTTCTCCCTCCAGTATGGAATCCCCTTTTACCTCCAGTACCTGGCCCACTGGCCTGAATACTTCATAGTTGCTGAGGCTCCTGGAGGTGAACTGATGGGATACAGTAAGTCCTCCCGTTTTATCTCTGGTCTCTATCGGGAAACCTCACATCTACGGGCACAATCTGCAATTTTACCTTAAACTGAACATCTTTAGGAAATGTTATTACCTTATACTGGTAGTCAGAGACCCAAAGCAATAGAAAAAACATTGTTTTAGTAGTTTATTAACTCATTGGCTGCCACAGACGTCTATAGAGGTCTTTTATGTTTTTCAATGCGAGTGGCTGGGGGACGATCTGCTAAAGCTTGTCCGTAAATATGGGCTTCTAGACAGAGTATGTAGTAACAAATTTACCCTCTAACGCCTGGGCTGTGGGGGGGTCTTGTGTTGCAGTCATGGGGAAGGCGGAGGGCTCGGTGGCGAGGGAGGAGTGGCACGGCCACGTCACGGCGCTGTCGGTGGCGCCCGAGTTCAGGAGGCTGGGCCTGGCCGCCAAGCTCATGGAGATGCTGGAGGAGATCTCAGAGAGGTCCGCCTACATCCGTCCGCCGTTAGCTAACGCTAACGCTAACGGAGCTACTACTCTGCATAGTTTATGTTTATGTTTATGCATTTGGCAGACGCTGTTATCCAAAGCGACTTACAGAGTAGACACAATATTCCATTTCTCATCACTATGACAATAAGCTATCCAGAGGAGAAACACTGATCAGAGTCAGTGGTGAGATAGAGATAGAGGTAGAGGTAGAGATACAGGTAGAGATAGAGGTAGAGGTAGAGATAGAGGTAGAGATGGAGATAGAGGTAGAGATAGAGGTAAAAGTAGAGATAGAGGTGGAGATACAGGTAGAGGTAGAGATAGAGGTAGAGGTAGAGATAGAGGTAAAAGTAGTGATAGAGGTAGAGATAGAGGTAGAGATAGAGGTAGAGGTAGAGATAGATAGTGGTAGAGATAGAGATAGAGGTGGAGATAGAGGTAGAGATAGAGGTAAAAGTAGAGATAGAGGTGGAGATAGAGGTAGAGTTGGAGATAGAGGTAGAGATAGAGGTAAAGATAGAGATAGAGGTAGAGATAGAGGTAAAAGTAGTGATAGAGGTAGAGATAGAGGTAGAGGTACAGATAGAGGTAAAGATAGAGATAGAGGTAAAAGTAGTGATAGAGGTAGAGATAGAGATAGAGATAGAGGTAAAAGTAGTGATAGAGGTAGAGATAGAGGTAGAGATAGAGGTAAAGGTAGAGTTAGATATAGGGGTAGAGATAGAGATAGAGGTAGAGGTAGTTGTTGTGATGTGGCGCTATAGAAATAAAATTGAATTGAATTAACGCTGACGGCGGTCCCTCCCCCGGCAGGAAGGGGGGGTTCTTCGTGGACCTGTTTGTGCGCGTTTCCAACCAGGTGGCGGTGAACATGTACAAGCGCCTGGGCTACAGCGTCTACAGGACGGTGATCGAGTATTACTCCGCCAGCAACGGGGAGCCGGACGAGGACGCCTACGGTACGAGTTCCCGGCCTATCAGAGCATGTGTTAGAGTCTAAAGTTATTTATCTACTTAATTAGCTGTCAGACTCATGCTGAACAGGGATTTACTCTGATAACAACTTAATGGTTAGGACACAGACCTGTGGGTTACAGATGCTAATAGTCTGATAACAACTTAATGGTTAGGACACAGACCTGTGGGTTACAGATGCTAATGCTCGTTTAGCCCTCAAACATCTGTAATAAATGCTAAAATATTAAACTCTCAAACTGAAGTTATTTATCTACTTACTTAGCTGTCAGACTCATGTTGAACAGGGAAAATGAACTGAAAAAAAATTCAATTTTGCATATTTTATGGTAAATAAATTTTAAATTTAGCACATTTTATGGTAAAAACTCTAAATTTAGCATGTTTTTTGGTTAAAAAAATGTAAATTTAGCACATTTTAGGGTAAAAACTGTAAATATTGTACAATGTAGGATTAAAAAAAAACATAGATTTCGCACATTTTAGGGAAAAATTGTCAATCTTGCCTAATTTTACTCCCGGCCTATCAGAGCATGTGTTAAAGTCTAAAGTTATTTATCTACTTACTTAGTTGTCAGACTCATGTTGAACAGGGATTTACTCTGATAACAACTTAATGGTTAGGACACAGACCTGTGGTTACAGATGCTAATGCTAATGTGGGATCGGACTTTTAAAAAAAATGGATTTGGAGTCTGGATCTGTCAGTATGAGTCAGATTTATCAGGTTTAACCAGTTTTATTTAGACAAATGCCCCCCCATCCCATCCCCCCTTGTTTCAACATGTTTACAAACAGGTATTTGACACTTTTTAAATGCGACGGATGTTTGATCCTGAGCCAGGTGGCTGCAACAGGCTCAGATTTGATGAAAACGGATCAGAGAGGAGACCAGAACCAGGACTAAAGACTAAAGGCCCCGGTTCTCCGTTAGCATGAACTCAAAAGCTGCTTTTGTCTGCCTGCAGATATGAGGAAAGCTCTGTCCAGAGACACGGAGAAGAAGTCCATCGTCCCGCTGCCACACCCCGTTCGGCCCGAGGACATCGAATAAAGGGGGGGGGGTTAATTTCCTGTAAACCTGCCGTGGACATTTGCTGTAGAAAAATAAATCAGTCACAGTCTGAGTGGGCGTGTCAGACGGGTTTGGTTTAAAGAGAGACAAGAAGAAGAAGAAAAACAAAAAAATAAAGAGTAGAAAATCCCACTCAGGGCCAAAACGGGAGGCTAATCTTTCTCCTCCACACGGCTCTTCTTCTTCTCCTCCATCTTCTGCTTCTTCTTCTTCTTCTCTTGCACATCCTCACTGTCACTGCTGCTCTCATCTCTGTATTTCTTCTTCTTCTCCTCTTTTTTTTTCTTCTTCTCCACGTCGTCCTCACTACTACTACTACTACTGTCATCTCTGTATTTCTTCTTCTCCTCTTTCTTCTTCTTCTTCTCCATGTCGTCCTCACTGCTACTACTGCTGTCATCTCTGTATTTCTTCTTCTTCTCTTTCTTCTTCTTCTTCTCCTCCACCTCGTCCTCCTCGCTGCTACTACTACTGTCACCTCGGTCCTCCTCCTTCTTCTTCTTCTCTTCTTTCTTCTTCTTCTCGTCTTCCTCGCTGCTGTCGTCTCGGTCCTCCTTCCTCTTCTTCTTCTTCTCCTCTTTCTTCTTCTCCTTCTCCACATCGTCCTCACTACTACTACTACTACTGCTGTCATCTCTGTCTTTCTTCTTCTTATTCTCCTCTTTCTTCTTCTCCTTCTCCACATCGTCCTCACTACTACT